ATTTTTACATTTCTCCGATCAGAGTGTTAATTTCGTTTTGTGAGAGCTCTGACTCTAAAGTTGCATTTGAATTACAGTACGTTCTGGCATATATTTTTAATATGTACAAACTTAAGTAAAAAGAAAATAAAAGATAAAAAAAAGAGCACCAGACATACATGTAATGCTAACCTTATATAACTAGGCTTTTTATGGTGTGGGTTCGATACCATCAAAATACAAGAAAATGGGTTTTTTTTCTTATTGTATGTTAAACATATTAAAACTGTATATAGTTAGAAATTGTGCTTTTGCAAACTTGTATTATAATGTATTTGAATAGATTTAATTGGACAAAAATAAACTCAAAATTGTATTTCACGACTAAACCAAATGGGGATTTGCGCTATCTTACCCCCCCCCCCATCTTCTTTATTTTCTCTTTTACAAAAATCAAACAGTTATGTCTCTGTTTTAACCAAATATATACACTTGCAAATATGCTTCCTTATGTGAATCTATACACTATATATATAGCTAGCGAAAACGTTTAATTCAGTGTTAACTTTTTCGTGACGTCACTTTGATAACCGCACGCGCTTATCGCTTGACGGTTGCAATATTGTTTTTATAGATCTTTTCTTCTAAAAACGAGACATTTTCTCTTTATAACGATATAATAAACTCGTAATAACTAGATCTTTTCTCGTTATTACGATATAAAGAACTCGTAATAACGAGATCTTTTCTCGTAATTACGAGATCTTTTCTCGTTATGACGAGATAATTAACTCGTAATTACGAGATAATTTACTCATAATAACGAGATCTTTTCACGTTATAACGAGATAATTAACTCGTAATAACGAGATCTTTTCTCGTAATTACGAGATCTTTTTTAGTAATTACGAGATAATTAACTCGTAATAACGAGATCTTTTCTCGTTATTACGAGATCATTTTTGTTATAACGAGATCATTTCTCGTTATAACGAGATCTTTTCTCGTAATTACGAGATCTTTTTTCGTAATAACGAGATAATTATCTCGTAATGACGAGAAAAGATCTCGTAATTACGAGATAAAAATATTTATGTGGCCATATTCGTCTTTCGTACATACATGATTAAAGTTAAAATTACTTTACATGAATGTTGGATCTAAATTTTATAATATCATTAGTAATATGTATACAAGAGGCCCACGGGCCTTATAGGTTACCTGAGCATTATGCAACAACTTTCCAGTTACAGTGTATTGAATTTGATTCAATAACATGTTTTAAGCCAGATGCTATGGCATTCACAATTTTGAAAGAGCACCATTGACCATCATAACAATAGACTTAGCAGTTGCTTAGCTTGGTTACTGAATACCCATATGCAGGGTAGGGGAACAAAAATGCACTCCAACTAATCAGTAATATTCATCAATAATCAGTAGTGTCCCTAACACTCTGACATAAACCCCTGACCCTAGGTTGCACAAATTTTTAAAAGGCACCCTTAAAATTGCCTATCAAAAAGTAAATAAATGTTTTATAAATACAAAGGACCAGATTTCAAACAATTAATTCATTTCCAGTATATAAGTAGAGCCCCCCCATCCCTGACCCTGGGGCCTTGAAATTCACAATTCTGCAAGATTAGGGCCCTTGCTCATCATAACTATATAGGTAGTTCATCTGCTTCATACCCAGAGACAGAGAAGAATATTTTCCAAGATTTCATGTATTTTCACTATATAATCAATTTAATAGAGCCCCACCCTAACACCAGAACCCCGACCCTGGGGCCATAAAATTCACAATTTTGGTAGAGGCACTCTTTCTCATCATAAATATGCACTTATTTAGTTTATTTAATACCTAGGAGCAGAGAAGAAGATTTTCAAAGAATTCATGTAATTTCACTATATAATCAATAGAGCCCCCCCCTAACACCAGAACCCTTGACCCTGGGGCTATAAAATTCACAATTTGGTAGAAGCACTCTTTCTCATCATAACTATGCACTTAGTTAGTTTATTTAATACCCAGGGGCAGAGAAGAAGATTTTCAAAGAAATCATGTATTTTTACCATATAGTCAATAGAGCCCCACCCTAGCACCAGAACCCCTGACCCTGGGGCCATAAAATTCACAAATTTGGTAGAGACACTCTTGCTCATCATAACTATGTACTTAGTTGGTTTATTTAATACCCAGGAGCAGAAAAGAAGATTTTCAAAGAAATAATGCATTTTCACTATATACTTATTTAGCCCCACCCTAGCACTAGAACCCCTGACCCCAGGGCCAAGAATTTCACAATTTTGGTAGAGAACTCAATGCTGATTACAATCATGCAAATAGTTTGACTGCTTGATGTCTAGGAGTAAAGGAGAAGATTTTTAAAGATTGCATTAATTTTAGTGGTTTTGGTCCCACCCCTCAGGCCCCAGGGATCATGAAATTCACAATTTTTGTTCCCCTTCACCCATAGATGCTTTGTGCCAAATTTTGTTGAAATTGGTTCAGTGGTTGCAGAGAAGAAGCTGAAAATGTTCAAATGTTAACACACGACACACGTCCGACGACGGACAACGACGGACGGAAACGGATAGCAATAGGTCAACTGAGTTTACTCATGTGACCTTATAAGGATAGTCAAGCATGTGTGAAAATTAAGAGATTCTTTTCAGATCCATTTCAAATAACTATAGGTGTCCGTCAAGGGAATAATTTGAGCCCCTCCCAATTCAAAATATTTATCAATGATTTTCCAACATATTTAGATTCATGTATTGATGAAGTATCGCTTCAGACACAAACTGTTAATTTTTTAATGTATGCAGATGACATTGTTATCTTATCCTCATCAGCTAAAGGTGTACAAGCAAGACTCACTAAACTTGAAAAGTATTGCTCTGATTGGTGTTTAAAGGTAAACATTCAAAAAACAAACGTCATGATCTTTAATAAGGCTGGTCGTAATATTACACAAAAATTAATGTTTCAAAATAATATGATAGAATGTGTGCCTAGCTACAAATATCTTGGAGTCCACCTAAGTGTATCTGGAAGCTTTCATGTAGCAAGATTAGAGCTTCATAAAAAAGCATTAAAAGCATATTATAAGTTAAGAAAGGATTTTATTGATTTGAACACTGGGGTTAAAACCAGTATACATGTATTCGATTCTACCATTAAACCAATTCTTTTGTATAATGCAGAGGTGTGGGTGCAAGTAAAATAAAGGCTTAAAAATTCCTAAACTGCCAAAATTTAACAGTTGAAGTCTGCTTTAAAAATCTACCCTGTGAAAGAATACACCTAAAATTCTGTAAATATATTCTCGGCGTTCATAAGAAAAGCACAAATTTTGCAGTACTGTCAGAATTGGGAAGGTTCCCCCTGCATTATGATATTGTTAGGTTGTTGATTAAATTTAGTTGGTATAGATTTGAAAATTTGTCCATAGAATGTAGTAAAAAAATTTTGTGAATGGAGGAACTCATGGTTTGCATTTATACAGAAATTAAAAAAAATACTGAATATTACAGATGAAGTTATTTGTTATCTGGTTATGGGAAATATAAATTTAAGTCATTTTTTCATAAAATTTTATTAGGTTATTATGTGAAGAAATGGTATACAAGTAATAAAAGTTATGTCAATGGCAAATTATCCACATACATGTATGTGAAACTCAAACAAAACTGTGGTTATGAGAATTTATCAGTTGTTAAAAATTTTCATTACAGAAAATCTCTATGTAAATTAAGAATTTCCTGTCGCAGCTAGACTACAAATTGAAGTGGAAAGAATTACCAATATTCCTTGAGAAGATCTATTATGTAATAGATGTAATTCTAACAACATAGATGATGAAACTCATTTTTTTTAAATAACATGTAAAAAATTTGATCATCAAAGGAAAGAAATATTTCAGTTAATTAATCATAAATTTACACTATTTTCAGCTTTAGATCATGAACAAAAACTTAATTGGTTACTCAATACAGAATATAAGGAAAATCTTAATTTTGTAGGCAATTTATAAATGATAACATGTTATAGTAGTATTAGTCTTTTACACATACATGCATAATTATCCCCCTTCAGACAAATTTGTGGATTGCTGATTGGCTAAAACCTGATCACTTGACGCCCAGAAATTTTCCATATTACGTCTCTGTTGAGGAGTAATATGAAAATCGGGCACCCGATTCCGTTCGCAGCGTTATTATTGTAAATAAAAATGGGGGCAATGAAACGGTAGTTTAGTTATATTTCTTGTTAACGCAACGATATTTTATCTTGATTGTTATTGGATTAAAACTTAATATTTTCATAATATGCACAAACATTGTTTTTATATTGAAAAAGGTCTTCAGCGGGATAAATTCGTAACACAGTCAGTTAGTGACCTAATGCGGATTCATACAGGGTGTGAAATGGAAATCCGTATTGGGACTCGGGTTCGCCTCGCCCAATACGGATTTCCATTTCACACCCTGTTTGAATCGGTTATCTGTATTAGGTCACTTACTGACTGTGTAACTAATAATATATATTAAATGTTTTCCTTTTAGACAGGATTATCACAGGCTCCTGACGTTACTTATTTTGCTTTTAATAAAAAAAATATACCCTTACCTTATAATAAATTGGTTTATTATATGGAAAGGGTATACTTTTTTTATTAAAAGAAAATTAAATAAGTAACGTCAGGTGCCTGTGAGGATTATTGTTGAAATGATTTATGTCATTTACTAATTGTATAATTGTTTTGTTATTCATTGGTTTATCTTTTCCTTATTATTGTAACAATCTCATACATGTCTGTTATGGGCTCTTAATTAGAAATAAAATGTTCTATTCTGTTCTGTTCTGTTCTATATCAATATACATGTATTTCAGAAAGCTATATATACTTCCTAAAAGGATAATGTTTAAAATGATAACACTAGAAGACAAATTAATATCCCAATGCTTCAACACGAATAAAAAATTAGAACATGTTTACAAATTTAAAACTATATTAAGGGAAAGTACATAAGGCTTGATAATTTTATATCCAGTATATTGAATGCTGATAAATAAAATACATGTACATGTACACCTGTTCTTTTTATTTCAAGCAAAATCTTTCTTTCGTTGGATCAATGTCAGACACTCTGAAGATAATTAGTGATTGTACACTAGCACATGAAAAAATTAACATCACAGAGTATAGATATTCATATACATTTTTTTAAAAATATTTTTTCAAATGTCCAGAGATTTTGTTCATAAAAATCAACTCTTAGTCTATTACAATTGATGTCTAACCCTTTTCATTGAAATAAAGGGAAAACACTGCACGTAGTTTGGTAACTGATTGAATAACAAAAAAGTGTATGTATGAAAAAATAACTACACTGTAAATAGAAAAGTTAGGTACAAAAACTAAAGAAAAACTAAAATGAAGCTAGAGCAATTTGGTCTATGTAATTCTACGATGGAATGAAAATCTAACCATCATGAATTTTTTATTTGAATGATTTATATAGAATGATAAAGACATCATACTAAACTTTTGAAAAAAATCTATTTCTCATTAATCAAGGGGGGGGGGGTGTACTAAAATACATGATAAAGCCTTTTTAAAAAAACGATTGATTCCCCTCTCCCAGCTGTTGTAGTGACTGATAAAAATGATCTGACTCCAAACTTTTTTTTTTTTTTTTTTACATTTTTGGACATGATTTTTTTTCTTTTATTCCTCTTCTATGCTGACATTTTCTAGAATGAATTAAATTTCCTCACCTACCCACTTACCCAATACTTTTAATCTGAGTCTGGAGGGGGAAAGCAAACATTTTCAAATTGATATTAATTAATTAAGGGGAAAAACTCTACAGCAACACACAATGAAATAAATAAATGACATGTATATACACTGGTGTTTTGTAAGTAAATATTTTACTTTGGTAGGACATCCAAGTTTATGAAATGATAAAATAAAACCAGTTACAAACTTATACTTGGTAAAAAAAACACTCATAATTAAGAAATATTGGATATTTCACCAAATAAATAAATTGACATAAAAAGGCTTGAACTTATTAAAATTAATGAGTAATTTGTAACTAGTATATGTGTAAATATTAAGAGGCTTTTTTCTCTTTGGCAATGTCTTTGTCATATGATGTATCTTTCTCTGAATCTTTATTTCGTTTGGTTATCTGCTTTCCGTAAGATGACCCCTTCTCCAGCTGAGTAAATCCAATCATGTACTTAGCGAGTAAATTTACTGAAAGAAAAAATTCCCCTGATTCAATATCATGATATGATATTTTTAGCATTTAACATAGTATTGCATAATTATATACTTGGGAAGTCACAAAATTTCATGACTGTATATAAGGAATAATTTCTTAGCCCTAATGAAATCTGATTTTTTTGTCAGAGATATAAGGTATAAATTACATAGTTTACATGTAAAATATAAAACATAATTATGTAATTTTTTTAAAATTTATCAGTAAATGCCAGGTAGTCATAAATCTATATTATGAAAGACAAAGTTGTTAACTTCAAACAAGAAATTTATGGGTGAAATAATAAACATTGTCATTCTACAAGTTTTATATGAAACCTGTAGAATGTAAATAACTACTCAGTAGCCAAACAAATGAAGTAAACTCACCTGAAACAAATACTAGGACTACAGTTACTTTATGAAGAAGACTTCCATAAAAGAGTACATTGACTAGGTAAAAGAATAATGGCACAAGAGTCACAATGATCCAGAATATATGGATAACTAGGTCAGTATAACGTTTTGGTATTAAGAATCCTGGTCGATCCAGCTCTTTGGTTTGATAAAACTTTTCCACAACTTCATCCTGTGAAAAAAAGCAAGTCAGGATATAATTTTGCACTTGTATAAACTTAGGTTTCTTCTCAGCACAACTTCTAAATTCAAATAAACTACTATTTACTTGTGCATTTTTGGCCTTTACTTGCTTTTATACCAAAAGTTACATTTGAAATTTTTTAAACATCCAAACCTTCATCACAAGAAAATATCAAATCATAGCTGCGGGTGATGAAAGAAGGTAAATTCTTGACAGTATCATGGAAATTGTTGAAAACATCTCATATGCAAAAATAAACTATAATTATATTACACTTTCATAAACAGTGTCTTATTTTGAGATTATTGACAAGTCCTCAGAAAGATGTGCTTGTCAGATCATATCTTGAAAAAATAAGAATATTTTTTTTTTATAGTACCTTTTCTTTAAATAGATTCCTCAGCCAATCAGAGAGTTCCTCCTCTGAGTCTGGTAGGTCTTTAACCACATGTCGTCTTAAGGAAATGATACATAGTAATAATAAAGCAAAAGCATTGTTTAATGTTCTGTCATTATATTAACTCTATAAGTATTCACTTTGACTCTTTCAAAGGAAGTTAACTTAACAAATAATACATTTTACAATGGAAAAATTTGAGGAAAAGGGTCATGTCATACTTGATACCAGAATATGTTAGATAAAAAGAATAATCTGTAAGTTAATATGACATATATCTCTAGATTTTAAACATTTGTGTAGCTTGTATACCTGGCTCGGATCCTACTCATTATCTTCTTCCCTTCTAACACGTCCATTAGAGAGGGATAACCCTCATCAAACACCACTGTAGCATCGTATACTGCATTTACTGAAAAAAATATGTACATGTATGTTTAAAAGGCACTTTAAGTAAACTGTGATTAATTACTGCAAACTTGATTTGTACTGCAAACATACAAATAAAGACTTCAGAGTAAAATTCATTATCCCTTGATCCTTACACTTTTCAGTCATAAGTTTGCTTGAATTAAACCCCCAGCAATTGTTATAAACTGTTTTCAAAGATTTAGATGGCAAAGATCTACATCTAATATACTTTTACATGATCTACATTTTTTCAAGGCCTGCCAACATCAATAGTGCAAGGTCATCAAGTTATGCGCCATCAATTTGGAAAGAAATCATTCATACAGTTTCACAGGGACAATCTCAAAGTTTTTCTAAAAGGGAAAGTTGCACAAGATGAATAGAACATCTCTGTGTGATTAGATAATTGGATTTAGTTTTCAAGATCCCTCAGGCTATTTTCCATTTGCCAGGGGCTTTTTTCCCCAAAACTTCTAATTGAAATTGTGTATATATGCTCAGCAAGCCTCATTAATATATACACTATTTCAACTTGTTGGATTAAGCTTATATCAAATCACACTGTATAGATATCCTCTATTTACGTTAGGTACATACATTTTCCTTTCAGCTCCTGTATAGAGTAGGCGAATCCTTTCGGTCTTGGTAACAGATGATGTTTCATTATTGGGTATCCCTTTTCCTTGGCAACAATTTGGCTGTTTTCTAGTTTCTGAGGAGTTAACCTCGTTCCCTCTGGGAAGAGCAGCAGCTGATTATAAATGAATGATGGAGAAATCAAAAATCTCTCTTTACAATCACATATATTTCAGTGTATGAGAATGTGTTGTTTGGAATGGTTTTCCTTTTTATGTACCCATTAACTAAGAAATGATAAAATCAATAATTTCTCCTCAATTGTGTCATAAGATCTTGGTGAATGTAAAAAAAATATATTATTCAGAAAAAAAAGATTTCTTAATATCGTGTATGTAGCCTTTGGCAGAAAAACATGGATCCACCAAAGTGTTACATTACTTTATGGTGTGTATACTGTATACAGGGAAATCTCCCCCCCCCCCCCCCCGTTTTATTTTTGCCCTTTTGGCCCTTTTCTTGGTTGGGCAAATTAAAAAAAAGGATTGAAACAATACAGTATAATTTCTTTAACAATACTGTGACTGGGCAAATTTAAAATGGGGAAAAATTGTTTGCAAGTGTGAAAGGGCAGAAATAAAGTAAGGCGGATACAACCCTGTATACAGTAATTCATTATCATCCTATTTAATACAATCTACTGCATTCAATCCATTATTATTCTCTTAACAGAATTAAACTGAGTGCAACACTTACAGTGACCCAGTAGTCGTCCGGATATTCCATGGCTGTCCGGACTCCATCCTGGATTATCTTCTTATCCTTCGTCCAGTCTCTCTTTAGGAACAGGGACTCCGTGAACCACCAGGCCCAGCCAATCAGAGGAATGAACTGTAGGACCTTCTTACCATAGATCTTTGTGGTCTGAAACAGAAAATTGATGTTTTACTATGGCTGAAACTGGATACTACAGTCAAAACTCATTATCTCAAGCTTGATGGGAATGAGAAAAAATTTTAAAAGATGTTTTGAGGATTCAAGATATATGGAATGAAAATAATCAAAGAATAATTATAAGTAGTTGGGACTTCCAAATCATTTCTACAGCTCTGTTTCATTTTCCAGTAAAGAGGTTTATATTTCGAGTCATCATTTTTCTCTTCCTTTGTACAATTTTTTCTTGAATAATACTGACATTCACAAAGCAGTTTAAATTCATTTTGATAACTGAATTTCGATCAATTTCAGCATACCCGACATTACAAAATTTGATATAAATTACAGAGTACCTCTTCACTTGATAATTATCTAAAGGAATAATAGTCATTTAATACAATGAAGAGTTATGCCTCTTGTCAGTGGGGGCAATGAACCTTAAGCCTTACCCCGAGCATTCTCATTCTTTCTGATAGTATCCACGCCATCAGCCAGTCTATCTCGTATTTGTGGTTCATGATGACCATGATGTGCTCGCGACCTAGATATTTCCTCTCCTCTGGGTCCATGTGTAACACACATTCACATCCTGCCCACCACTGCCCAACACTTGTAAACTCTGAAAAAAAAATAACAAAAAACTCTGTAAATTTTGGTTCTGTGTTTGTGAGTTCTTGATTTATTTTTTTTTTTCAGTTTAAGTGGATGCAATTTTATGAACAAAGATCCAATTACAGCCACTGAAATGTTCTACTTCTTGATTATTGAGCAAGCAGTAAGTGGATGGTGTCCACGATTGATTTTAAACATCAACACCAATGTTGATGTTTACTTGTAGGAGTACAAGTAAGAGCCCCAGTTAATGTCCCTACGCTCCTTATATAGTATAATATACCTCGCGGTGCAAAGTCAAAAGTATCTCGCCGTGAACCTCTAGCATGCTGGAGTAACCATTGGTGGAGATAACAAATTTGTGGGTGAGAATTCAACTGTACCCCAAGCAAAATAGACGGATAGTATTTTCTTTAATTTAAACTTCTATTTTATTTCACCCTTCAATTTACATAGTACTTACGACACCATGAGGCATATGCCAGATAGTAGTTGATTTTTCTGAAGAGGGTTTTGTCAAATGGCCATATAACAAGTGTCAGAAGCTGGATGAAGTTCAGGATAAGTGTGCTGACAAAGAATATGTAGGCAAACAGCAGGAACCAGATAGGCCAACTCTTCCAGTTCCCCATGATGAACCTGTCAAAATAACTTTCTTGAATTTGATATTATTCCCTAATATTGACTAACATTTACAGCTGCTGATAAAAGTGGCATGACAAAAATAACATCTCTGTACCATGTCAAATATCAGAATAGTTTTCAACAAATATTCGAATTGAAAATTTGTCGCATTTCTCTCTAATTGAAAGCAATGACAAAGCAGTAAGTTAACTTTGTAAACTTGGTCCATGATATATAAACTCACGATGTCAAATTTTATTGATTCAGATCATCTTCAAGCAAAACATCAATCACCATCAATTCAGATCAATAACTGTCATGATTATCGAAAGTATTTTAAGGTTAATTTTTATTGCACAAGAGAAAATATTTCAGATTGACAAATAGGATATACATTGTATGTTATAGTGTTTTATACATTTGTATTTCAAATATTAAGTTACATAAATAATTTACCAAAAATATACTTTTTTTGAGAAATTCAAACTTTTTATTTTTAAATTTTAATTGTATTTTTAATCATTTTACGTGCTGTTTCATGACACAGACCTATTTTGGTCTTATTTATAATATACAGGCAAAACATGGCATATGGTGACCAAGCATTTATACGTAATGGAATTGCAACATATTAAGTTTTATTATATACTTAGTAATAAATACAGGTTTTTTGCATATGCGATATCACTGATGTCACAATAGCCGTATCAGCCCTGCAGGGCTGATATGGATTCGCTGGGCTGATAACCTATATCAGCCCTGCAAATCCACATCAGCCCTGCAGGGCCGATACGGCTATTGTGACGTCAATATCACACCATTAGTAAATTAAACCACAAAAACAGTACTTGTGATCATACACAATTTCTGGTTGGTTCATATTCTCTTTATTTAAACTTTTTGAACATAAGGTTAATCTTAATTTACAAATACTTGAAATAGATTATTTTCAAATTACGGATTGGGGACACTTGAAATAGAAGTACAGAAAAAAACCGAAACTGTGTGAGACAATAGACTGTGTACATTTTAAGAAGTCTTAGTCCGAAAAATCTTACGTTTTCCTGGCTTTTTTATGATTTTGATATTTTTCGGGCCAGGAAAAAGTTTTTCTGGGATCTAAAATATCAAAATCGTAAAAAAGCCAGGAAAATGTCAGATTTTCAGACTAAAGAAGTCTGTGCATGATTATTTACTTTTTTTCTTCTCAACTTAATGTGTTCTGTATTTTATTACTAAGTATGTAATAAATATAATAAAACATACCCTTTTCCACATCACATCCTGTATCAGCCCTCGACCAATATCAGCCCTCGGGCCTTCGGCCCTCTGGCTGATATTGGTGTCTCGGGCTGATACAGGATGTGATATGGAAAAGGGTATGTATTATTCTCTATATATATAATGAAATAATTTCTGTTTAATGAAATAAAGAGGGAATCTTGTCAAAGTTTTTTTTCCAATTTTGTTTCTTTCTGAAAAAAATATTAAAAGCAAGCCATAATAAATATACATGTAACAACTTTGAACAGACTTTTATTTCTTCAATACATGTTGATTGTTCTTACACCTATCATAAATATTAGCTATGTGGATTTGCAAGTTAATGGAAAGGCATAATAGCCCCTTTATTAACTTAATGAATATTCAAATGCGAATTGAATAACAGTCAGCAATATTCAAATGTTGATTTTAATATGATTTATGATGTACTTGTTCATCTCTAATATTTTTTTCAGAGCTACAGTTCAGCAGCTAACTATTTGAAAGAAGCAGAAAGATGATAAACTTATGATAAATATATACATAGCCTTAAGGTCAGGATGAAGTAAATAACTTTAGACTAATTTTTTGGTGCTAGATCCATTATGACGTACGTCATAATCAATTTCAAATTTCTTTTTCCCGTACTTTCTGGCTTTAGCAGAATTATGTAGAAAATATGGTATTTTCATGACATTCAATTTGAAATCATATGTAAAGTTAACCGGATACCTATATTAAATTTGATATTGATTTAAAGAAAAGGCCATCGACATACTATAATTTAACTGTTTTCCGAGAGACTGCAGGCAATCTGGATACATTTCCTTTGTCGAGTATGAAAAAACTCACATATTCATGACTGGTTTTCTTAATTTTTCATTAAAAAATGACAGTTTAAAATACAGTTTATCATCTTGTTTACCTACAAATTATGCCTTGAAACACCTTATTTGACCAAGCTAAAGTTGTTAAGCATCAATAAAGGAATGTATTTCTCAAATTTGATAAATATGTAGGCACCTTTCATTTACTAGATCTTGACCTTAAATGCCTCTATTCAATAGGAAATGTTCAAAATGTATCCAAAGCTGCTAGAAACGCGCGTATCTAAGGTACAAGACACAAGATCAAGTCGAACACCTTGCTCAAATTACATTGTAGGTGCATAGAAGTAAACTGAAGTTATAAATTGTCATTTTCATGAAATGATAAAGCTTGAATAATGTTAATTTACACTCAAACAGTCTACAAATCGAAAAATTTAGTTAATATACCTAATTTCGCAAATGGCAGTGGTTTTTGGACTTTGGATTTTGGATTATTTACTTCCGGTTGTCGTAAAGAATAAATAATTATTTCAGGGGCTTGTGGTATAATTATCAAACTATTATTATAATCTGAAATAAAAAAAACATCAATGTTTGTTATATATTTATGGTTTTAAAACAACAGTCTTTCAAAATTTTCTTCTTCCGCTTTACGACAACTACAGGAAACCGGATTTCGTCTAAACGTGGGTTTATGATGATGAAACATAGTTGACACACCATATTTCTACAATTTCTGACTTTAAAACAGGATTTCAAAAGATTAAGAGGTAACAGAGGTATTTTTAGTACTATTTTCAATTCATATTTTCATTACTTGAAGAATATTTGTTTACAGTAAAGCATTTACAACAAGCTGAACAAAGCCGGGTTTGTCATCACTATTTCTTTTTATGAGAGTTGGATAAGAATCATGGGACAATGTAGATCACCACTGAAAAAAGAATGCCTGATAAAGGAAAAGTTTTCAATTGAATTGAAATTGATAGATTTTGCACAGCTAATAATATCAGGTTATTGATATTCCTTTAAATCCTCTTCACATTAGCATCTGGTTTTGGACAGGTCCGGCACAATGTCTTGATTAAGCTATATAGCTTGATTTAGCTATAAAGCTTTATCAAGCTATTCAGAATAGCTTGATTAAGCTATTTTCTCAGACTTTTTTCTCAAATGTGTTATTTTTCCAACATGTGCAAAAAGTCGCACCTAAGTGCAGTGGAAATATTAAACTTTGTTTTCTTCTGAATACAATCTAAATTTTTATGTGAATTTATGTAAAAATTACTCACCAAAATGCGTCTCCTTAAGAGACTTTGTACTCAAAGATTTAAAAGTTTTGGGGCTATTGATGAGTGACAACACAGTTATTTCTTGAATGAAAGTATAAAAGAGGCCAGTTATGGCCAACAGGATAATTGATTAGTAACAGTTCAGCACAATGAGGAGCAATCATACTTACCCATGCTTCACCGAACACACAGTTACTCAAACAATGGAAATTTTTATTTTGCTTAAAGTATTCAACAGCAGCAATGTAAGAATTTTATATGATTTAGGTTGTATTTTTGGTAGTCCATAATACATATATGAATAATCAAATACTTGCGACTTTTTGTTTATTTCTTTCAAAAAACGGATTTGTGAAAAACTGCATATAAATAGCTTTATCAAGCTATTCTGAATAGCTTAATAAAGCTATATAGCTTTTTAAAGCTATATAGCTTAATCAAGAGATTGTGCTGGACCTGTTGGATATTCATTAAAATATGTTGACATAGTTAGAATAATCTAACTTTTAAACCGGGTCTGCTGGACAATATCACTATAATAATAGAACGCCGTTCTACATTTGTATGTAATGTTGACGGTGCTACCATTAGAGCGCAGATAGTAGCAATTCAGTTTTCATTAAGATCAAGCTCTTATTAAGATCAAACTGCATGTGATATTTGGTGCTTTAACACTTTGACATGGTATATAAGTACTGTAAACCAACTTTTATTCGCGTGCGAGAAATTTTTGCGAGATTCGCGAGAGCCTCGTCATCGCGAATATTTCTCGCCGCGATGGGTCCTCACCGTCTCATTTTCTATTATAGTAAAACAGTTCCAAAAAGGCTTGGTCGCGAAAATAATCGCCGCGAACTACTTTACTCCCGGTAAATCGTGAAATAAAGTCGTCGCGAATAAAAGTTGGTTTACAGTATCCAGTATATCCCAAAAGCACCAGTCAATTGGACAAAACCAGGGCTCTCGATTCTCTAAATCTTGGGCCGATATTCAGTCCGTTCCCAATGCAAAAAAGGTACCTTTTTTCCCAAAAGAAAGGTGTAAATTTCCCAATTTCTATAGCAAAATATTAAATAAAAAATTAAAAAATTCCATGAATTTAACTTAATTGCAAAATAAACCCAAAACAAAACACCTGTAAATGAAAGTGAAACAAATTAGTTCTATACGTATGTATGACTATTAATAACTTCGCGCCAAGTGCATTCTAAACTGGTTCGGGGAACCAGGTTAGTGTTATTACAGAAATGTATAACTATGATTGCAGAGTATCTTGTCATGAAAATCGACAAAAAACATCATTTTCAGTTTTCAAAAATAGACATTTCATATGAACATTAGTAAGCGGCACCTAGATACATGTCCAAGATTCAGCATGTTCAGTCTCGTGCTGTTTTAAAGCAACGATGATCATGTAATCAAGGAAATTCGGGACTATATGTGACTAGCGACTGTCACTCAGAAAGACATATATAACCGTAATATCAACACTCAAAGATAGTTATGACAAAGCTAATGTACTTTCATATATTGCCTACATATCGATGTTTGTTAGATGTTTACCTATTTATTCAATACTAGAGTTAAATTAATGACAAAATGCTAGAAAAGCAAAATTTGAGGTTTTTTTTTAATGAATGTTGGTCAATCCAACTTTTCCAAAATGACGATTATTTTCCCAATTTGAACGGCCCCGGCCACAGACCCAAAAAGTGGTGTGAGAGCCCTGAAAACGGTAAAATCTGATTGGTCCGATGCACTAACAAAATCAGTCCATTTGTACGAGGTTCGTTTTGGTTGGGTTTTACATTATATATTTCCTATTTCTTCATATAGACTCTTTAACTAAGATAAAAACAGTTTATTAAAAAATTTTAGTTGATTGTGATTGTTTTAAAACCTACTTTCGGCACGATATGTCTCTCAAATTTTGCTGGGATTACAGGGAAGAAGAAGAAACATTTCAGTTCATCTTTTAATGTGTTATCTGTTTATTTATTCATATGCTATGAAGTAACATCATTATGATCATTATATGAATAAAGTTTTGGACCGGTGTAAATTCATTTGATCCTATGAAATTGTGTGAACTGTCTGTCCAAATGTCCTGTGGCGATTTTTCTGTTTCGCGAAGACTGAGTACCATCACCCTATTAAAGTCTGCATGAGCAGTGCTAACTTGAACGAAGTAGTATTTATTTACTATGTATATTTTTTTCCAATTTATCAATGAAATCAAGACTATAGTTTATTTATTGTTGAACATTTTTAACTTTTCTCCTGAGAACAGCTTAAAGAATTAAGCACTGATGCATTGTGGTTCCAGTAATCCTTTTGTTCTGCAGGGAAAGAAATTTGTTTATTTTGTCTACAGATATGCTAGTCCAGATTTTCTCTTTGCCTGGTGTTGTCGTTAGAACTGCCTTCAGTTGATATAATCTGGAGATTTATCTGACTCTTAAGTTCTAACTCCTTATATTGTGACTATAGTGCATGGGAAAGTCAACGCAGATGCGACATTGAAAAGTGGGAATTTATTGTGTCTAAATTTCAATAATTCAGAAGACTTTTAGATGTCTGTAAGATGAGCAGTACTTATGAACATCAGTTTGATGATGCAATTTTGAAAAGCATAGTTATCTTGGGACTGTTATTCAGACTCCTACAATTTAAAGTCATAAAATCATTTGATGTCACATTACCTGTTACATTGTTTCTGTTAAGTGCATGCATACTCATAGTCTCATACCTACATTATTTTTACAACATACTGTGTATTACTAATATTACTCATAATTAATATATATAATGATAATTATGTATTCATTAAAAGCACATAACTATATTTTATTTCTTATTGGTAATAATAAGTGTATTTATAACTTTTGTATGTAAACAGGTCTAGCCAAATGATCTCTGATAATTAATTATTACACCTTGTTATAATACCAGAAAAACCAGCATATTGCCCTGAGGGGGATCTTTCATCATTCATCTGATCAAGCAGGAAGAGAAGAGAATGCATGCATATTTTAACACTGTTTAAGACTGTCATGCAGTCATATGTAAACAAAAATTTGGTTGCTATATTTTACAATTGTTAAAGTTGAAAGGCATGTCAAATTAATTTACAAAATATATTCTTTAAAAAAAAACTGAAAGGTATTTGCTAATGATTGAGTAGGGATTTTCATTAATGTCAAGGAAGAGAATTAATCAGGATTGCATCAGTCTGTATATAAATTTAGATATTAAGAATTATCAAAGTAAATGAATTTGATGCATGATATGAACAATTATTAAGTAAACAATTAAATATATGTAAAATAAGTATCAAAAGTGAAATGGGAGCCATTTCACTGGTGATATATCATGTATATATTCCACAGAGAGGCTTTTGTTTACAACAAACATTAATTAGTTATTTTGAATATTTATTGAGTTCAATTTCAAAATTATTTGGATTTTTATCTTATTTTTTTCAGTATGGATGTCAATGGTTTGACTGAGAAAATGGCATCTACATCTGTTTCATTGTCACCAGAAGAGAAATTGGACATCATCAAAAGGAACCTTCAGGTATATAGATCAATTAGTCAGAACTATATAAAGAGTATTTTGCAAGATATAAACAACCACTTTCTTCTCTCATGAATTCAATTAGAAATAACTCACTGGCCATTTGATTATATGAAATACTTTATACTAGTCTGGTGTTTTGAAATGTAGTCAAAAAAAGCATAATGGTTGTTGACTTTCTGAGCATAATTGTGTAACAAGAATAGATAATTGTTTCTTCTCTGCAGGCTTTTCAAATGATGAACAAAAATTTTTGGTATAGTATACCACTCAACTTAGTAGGTTGATAAGACTTTGCAATGTTGATGCAATACGGTACAGTCACACATTACAGTGTAATTAAGCATGAAAAGTCAATTTAAAGTTAAGTCGCATAGATCAGAGTAAAATCTTTCATTTTATGATTTATAAGGAAGAGGGCTAAAATAGGCTTTGCGTGCCGCCCATATCTAGCCAGCTTAAAACTGTTTTAAGATGTCAGATGATTCAAGATTTGTAGGGATCTCAAAGAAAAGAGCAAGTGATTGAGGACTTTTGAATCTTTTTGACATATGAAAAGTATTCAATATATATGAGCTGGAGTGTTTGGGATACTGAATTCAGCTGTATTTATAAATTGTTGCAGGAAATAATAGGAGA